TAGTTGACTAGCTCGTTGATCAATAGATGGTTACAGTTTCCTGACCATGGACATTGGATGTCATTGATAACGGGATCACATCATTAGGAGAATGATGTGATGGACAAGACCCAATCCTAAGCCTAGCACAAAGATCATGTAGTTCGTATGCTAAAGCTTTTCTAATGTCAAGTATCATTTCCTTAGACCATGAGATTGTGCAACTCCCGATACCGTAGGAATACTTTGGGTGTGCCAAACGTCACAACGTAACTGGGTGGCTATAAAGGTACACTACAGGTATCTCCGAAAGTGTCTGTTGGGTTGGCACAAATCGAGACAGGGATTTGTCACTCCGTGTGACGGAGAGGTATCTCTGGGCCCACTCGGTAGGACATCATCATAATATGCACAATGTGATCAAGGAGTTGATCACGGGATGATGTGTTACGAAACGAGTAAAGAGACTTGCCGGTAACGAGATTGAACAAGGTATCGGGATACCGACGATCGAATCTCGGGCAAGTATCGTACCGCTAGACAAAGGGAATTGTATATGGGATTGATTAAGTCCTTGACATCGTGGTTCATCCGATGAGATCATCGTGGAACATGTGGGAGCCAACAAGGGTATCCAGATCCCGCTGTTGGTTATTGACCGGAGAACGTCTCGGTCATGTCTGCATGGTTCCCGAACCCGTAGGGTCTACACACTTAAGGTTCGGTGACGCTAGGGTTATAGAGATATTAGTATGCGGTAACCCGGAAGTTGTTCGGAGTCCCGGATGAGATCCCGGATGTCACGAGGAGTTTCGGAATGGTCCGGAGGTAAAGAATTATATATAGGAAATGCTATTTCGGCTATCGGGACAAGTTTCGGGGTCACCGGTATTGTACCGGGACCACCGGAAGGGTCCCGGGGGTCCACCGGGTGGGGCCACCTGCCCCGGGGGGCCACATGGGCTGTAGAGGGTGCGCCTTGGCCTGTATGGGCCAAGGGCACCAGCCCCAAGAGGCCCATGTGCCAAGAGATAAGGGAAAGGAAGAGTCCTAAAGGGGGAAGGCACCTCCGAGGTGCCTTGGGGAGGATGGACTCCTCCCTGGCGGCACCCTTCCTTGGAGGAAGGGCCAAGGCTGCGCCCCCCCCCCCCCTCTCCCTTGGCCCTATATATAGTGGGGGGAAGGGAGGGCAGCAACACCTAAGCCCTGGCGCCTCCCTCTCCCTCCCATGACACATATTCCTCCTCCCACAGCGTTTGGCGAAGCCCTGTTGGAATCCCGCTACTTCCACCACCACGCCGTCGTGCTGATGGATCTCCATCAACCTCTCCTCCCCCCTTGCTGGATCAAGAAGGAAGAGACGTCGCTGCTCCGTACGTGTGTTGAACGCGGAGGTGACGTCCGTTCGGCGCTAGGATCATCGGTGATTTGGATCACGACGAGTACGACTCCATCAACCCCGTTCTCTTGAACGCTTCCGCGCGCGATCTACAAGGGTATGTAGATCCACTCCTCCCTCGTTGCTAGATGACTCCATAGATTGATCTTGGTGACACGTAGGAAAATTTTGAATTTATGCTACGTTACCCAACACCTCCACCATAGTCCACCTCGATAATACTGTAGTGGTGTTTAGGCGAAGCCCTGCATCGGTAGAACATCATCACCGTCACCACCCGTCGTGCTGACGAAACTCTCCCTCAACACTCGGCTGGATCGGAGTTCGAGGGACGTCATCAGGCTGAACGTGTGCTGAACTCGGAGGTGTCATGCGTTTGGTACTTGATCGGTCGGATCGTGAAGACGTACGACTACATCAACGGCGTTGTGCTAACGCTTCCGCAAACGGTCTACAAGGGTATGTAGACAACACTCTCCCCTCTCCTTGCTATGCATCACCATGATCCTGCGTGTGCGTAGGATTTTTTTTGAAATTACTACTTTCCAAACAGCAGGTGCTACGCACGACAGATCTTCCAAGGACTTCAAGCTGTGTCGGCTGGTGGTACTTGGCAGCATGGCAGTGAGGTGTATCAGTGGCGACCGCGACGTGCTCAGTTGTTTGCGCGCAGGGAGGGGTGTCGTTCGGCGTCGTGGTGGCGTCGACGATAGCTAGACCAAACAAGGTTGATGCATCAGTACAATTATGAAGATGGAGCGGCGACAGTTGGCGGCGGCGGCCTCTAAGAGCACACCGGACCAGTGTGTGCCCCAGACCCGGCAAGTGGCTAGGTTGGGGTCTCAGATCTTAGATGTTAGGCTTGGCTGCGATGTCTGTTTGGTATTAGGCCAAGGCTATCTACGCCCCTTCATCAACTGGATAGGTGTAGCGACAGTTTGTTGCTTAGACGGCGGCTTTAATGTTACTGTTGTATGACTTTGTAAGGTCTTGTAAGAATAATTAATAAAATGGCCGTATGCATCGCTCAGATGTAGAGACCGGTGATCATCCTCCTTTTCTAAAAAAAAGCTGAAGTTCATGTTATGTTTAAATTTAGAGTTTGAAACTTGAAAATATGGTTTGTTTTCAATTGTTGTAAAGTGTGTGATGTTGTAGACCAAGATTTCGACTTCTATATATGCAAGTTGAGAACCAACTATGATGTACACGCACAAATATAAGAGAAATGGGACAGAAAACATTACAAAGAATGCACTTTTGGCGACTCTGTTTGAACTCCAAAAACATTTTGAAGGTTACCGATCTGACGGCTCCGCATGAATTGCACTGATCATTAACGCCACCCCCTCCCCTCCCTCTCCCTCGTCCCACCGTGGCTGCGTGAAGAAGTCGTTTGCGCACAAAGTCTGAGGCGCGGTGTCGAGCCCTAGCAACATTCAAGTTTCTTTCAAATGTAACCATGGTGGTGCCGGCGCTCGTTTAGACGGCGTGAAAATTAAACCAAATCTCGTGTAAAAAATGACAGTTGTAAAATTCCATGAGGTTCTTACTTCCAAACAAGCGTTAGCTAGCTCCAGTTAACCCCGCCAGATTCTAAAATGATTGCTTGGTTCCGGGCTAAAGTGCCTTTAAAACCCCAACTGATCAATCATCATTCTATCGACGAAGCATATATAGATGCCGAAAACCAAAGAAAGCAGTCCTAGCGGGGGCCGGTGAAGGGCGCGGCAGTTGAGCTCGTGACCGCGCACCCAGACCGACGGTACGCGAGAGCGACAGCGGTTCGCGGCTGTTACGTCTGTCTCCCAACCTTGGAGGCTACGGCGAGATGCCTACTTAGCAGCAGTACTACTACTGTACCGCCCCATCAAAGTCATCTGCATCAGCGTCGCGATAAGTTAAGAGCAAGTGCGCTGAATTCGTAGACAGTGGCCGGCGCCACCAGGGAGAATCATTGACCTTTTCGAGGCACAGCACAGGCTAGTAGACCAAAAAAAATTGCCACCGCCTAATAATAACACTACTACTATAATCCACTCCAGATATTTGCCGTGATCTTAATCCCGTCCGAGTAGTAGATTCACAGCAAGTTCTTTCTGAACGCGTGGACGGCTGCGGTTGGACAAACAGATCGGTCAAGAAACTGCACAGTGGGCTCAGATATTTCAGTGTACTACATAAAAGCTGGAGTATGCACGCACGTACTGTATCTTGGGGGGGCGGAAACAAATATCTTGTGCAGCGTGCGCTGTGCCGGAGCCGGAGCCGGATCTCGACCGGGGGAATCCGGGCCAGCGCAGGTATAGGCAGCGGCACGTACTGCTCAGGTGCGCCGTCCACCTGGAGCTGGAGGCGAGGTCCCCGTCGGTATACAATCGCTGCACGTGGGCCCACGTGGACCTCCGGGGATGAGGCCTCTTCTCAGCGCTTGATTGATTGCTCCCCGTCCCACGGCGTCCGACGTGTGGGCCAGGGTCCGCAGTCCGTCAGAGGGCTCGGCCGTGCTGGTGCAGTACGTATGGACGCACATACTCCCGTCTGCTGGTCGCTGGCCAGAGATACGGGTACTACGCCGAGTTAATTCCCGTCTGCTGGTCGCTGGTGGTGACCGAGATATTTAAATTCCATCTTCCATCGTTCGAATTCCGAAGATTTACAGGGATTTGATCTCTTGGGAGTAAACCAAATCGGCTCGTCTGGGCTTCGGAAAACTAGCTAGTGGCAAGAAAAAATAATGAAGCGTGCCGACGGTGCGTAAACAGCACGCGTGTTCCAGGAGATACGCATTGCCTTGATGCAGTGTATGCCGCCTGGAGCGAGGGAATAGATTACTGGATCGCGTGTTAAACCACTACCACCAGTACCAATTCCTGTGGCGGAAAGTCTACGCGGGGTTGTGCGTCCGTACTCGGCTCGCCCGTACGTACGTGTAGGCCTCCCTGAATGTTGACATTCTGGAGCCATCATCGTCGAGTAACAGTACACAGGACCGTGACCTCTGGGCTCTAGCGTTTCATCCGGGACACATTGCTTCTAGAAGCTACACCGCTGCAGCTAACCACTTGTACGAAACACAATTTGGTAGTAAGGACTTACCCGTAATTTTTTTCCTGTATTCAACGCTAGCCGCATGCATTTTGACAACAACTCAACCTAATCGGACGAAATTTACGACCGGACTTCGTATAAACACAGCCAGATTTTATATAAACATGACAGATATCATTTAAACATGACGAATTTCATTACATTTATATCAACTGAGCGGAAACCAGGTCTAAATGGTCGCCGACGCCCGTTCACCGTGTCCGACAATCAATCAAGAGAACTGAAACTTCACCATCTCCAGTTTCGCCTCGGTGCTCTCCAGCTCCGTCTCCGTAACCTCCTCCTCCTCCGGAGGCCTGGGAAGTGAAATTGTCCACCTCCACATCGCCACCAAGCGACTAATCAGTCGACGATGTTGAGCCCACCAAGTTTGGCGTTGAAGGGAGGGGAGGAGTGGTGGCCATCCTGGGTCTAGAGCAGCGACGACCTACCATGCACTACTCTTCTCGCTATCGGCGACGCCCGCGACGTGTCGGCTTCGTGGTCGTCGTGGCGGGGTGCGGACTCAGCGATGTCCCTTACCCTCGTCGTCGGTCTTGCCGAACACCGCCTCGCCCGCCTCATCATCGCACTCCTTGCCGGCAGCCACCACCTCCGCCACCCCGCTGCCAGTACTGCCAACGGGACTCGAGCAACGCCTCCTGCTCCGCCATGTCCGCGTCCGGTGCGACCGCTCTGCCGGCGGCGAGCTGCTCCTCCGCCTGCAGATGCTCCAGGAGGGTGGTGGTTGTAGGCAGCATCGGCCTGCGCCTCTTGAAACTGCTCCTCCCACTCCTCTTGCACCATGTCCATGGGCACGGACCTCGCTGATGGTCATGGTGCAATGCAACGGCGAGGGATGCTCAGAGGAGAACGGTGATGGCATGGAGGATGGTGGCACCGGTTCATCGTCAACAGCGTCCTCCATTGGGACGTCGTCGTCCTCCGGCTGCCTGTCGGTCAGCCAGCCGGTAATAATGGCGGTCATCTCCTTCTTCTGGTTCGACGTCAGCCCGTCTCAAAGAGCTTTGGCGTGGGAGAGATTCGTGGTGGGATTGGTGCGGAAAGGGATCAGAGGTGGATGACAGTGGCTATGGCTAGGACACTGGTTTTTATAGCAATGGTGGGCGACAGAGGAACGAATGGGTGGCGCCGGAGGAGACGTCTCAGTAGCCGCGTGCCATCAATGTGGGAGGCAGACGGGCGGACGGGCTGCCGTCGTGTCATTTGAACGCGGAGTAGTTGTCTGCAGCGGGAAGCGGTGCAGGCGGCGCTCTCTCGGCCAACGCACCGCTTCTATGTCGGCGCCAGTGAGCAACCGCGTCCGCTCTGGCCGAGCATGAATGCGGACGCTGACGCTTTGGAGTGACGCTGACTGAAAACACACGGGAGAGGGGAGGGAGGGTTGGTGGGTCAAGGCAGTCATAAAGCAGGCTTGAGATCGATCCAGACTCCCACAAAGCCCCTTCCCTTCCCCCGTTTGCCTCCGATTTATGACAGAAATCACATTCTGAATCGATACATTACCGTGTTGAATGGCTTCCGCTGTCCGGCACGGTCTAAACGCATGCGAGAAGTTTGCGGGGCGGTATTGGAGATGCCTAAGGTGACTTGTTCTCGCGCCCCGAGGGCGGCGCGCACGTAGCACTACTGCATTACCGTGGAACGGCAAAAGGATAAGATCGGCGCGCGTACGTTGCACCATCACAGGAGGAGGGATGACGAGACTTCGCAGCGCCGAATCGATTAACTAACCCGGCCGCCCATGACTTGCATCATCAAGTTGCGGAAGGCGCAGTGCCGGGAAGCTCCGTCGACGAGGACGACGCGGTCCGGGGCCCGGAGCCGGAGCGAGAGAGCGGACAGCGACGCGTCGAGCGGCCCAAACTGCGATCTTTTAACGACGCAGCCGGGGATTTGGAGGAGGTGTACCGAAAGCGTCTGCTGAGGATGGTGAGATTAAATAAACACGGGCCTAGTTGCGAAACAAGCCCCCGGCATCTGCATGTTCGTTTGCTCTGCGTCATTACTCCTGTAGGCAGATCGGTACAGACGGGCATGGGCGCGAGGCCGGGTCTCATCATCGTGCAGGCCATTTCTGCGCTTTCGACTACGCGGCGCATGTGGTGGGGGCAGGCGGAAGGGTACAGCTCATGAGCACTCAGACGCGTAACTCCACTCTGGGAATTCGCTCGAGGAAAGTAACTGCGTGATGTGGATTATTCGGAGAGAGAAGTTATGGCACTAAAAGTCTCAAGGACGGCATCTTCTTCAGTACTCGCTCGATTGCCTCATTGATGCAAGCATACTTGTGACCCAGTACGGACGAGGTTCCCAGCTTAATGGGCAGATTAAAAGGCACCATCAACCAGCAGCAGCTCCCGTTTCCATTTCACAGGTGAATGCGAGAACGCACTGCTGATGGTTAGCTGCTCGAAGCATTTCCAGTCCATAATTGCAGAATAGTAAAGAGGACGAAAACAAATCACACATGTGGTCGTTTGTGTTGTCCCGTGCAAATCTCTGAGAGAGCATCGTATAGATATAGCTAGATGTCTAAGGATGGATGCTGTCGTTTTTGGTGCTGCAGATTGTTGCATCAGTTAAGTCGGCTGGATCATGTATGTGGCCCATTCTATCCGGAAAAAAAAAACTCCAAACGACCACATGGACTCATCTTTTTTTTTGAGGGGTAGATTGATTCATCAACTAATAATTCGTGTCTGTGGACATGGCCATAGTTTCGTAGGGCGAATGATAAGTTGTAGTAGGTGGCCATTCATTGTAGGCTAGCCCAGCTCTTCGTTGTACAACAAAAAAACACAAGTAGGCGCGGCCCAGCTAGCACCTCTATTTCAGCCCAGTTCATGATTGCACGGCAGCTAGTGGGGATCCATTGATTGATTGATTGATTTCACGGTGGCTACACACAGAGCACTACTTGGCTCAATGGATAGGAACCGAAACGAGGCAGGGCCCCATTCCCCGGGAAAGTGGCATGGGTTGAAATGGACCTGAGTGAACACGCAGCACGCAAGGGGCAACTTGGTCTTGTCATGTAGCACAGCAGCGTGGCTCCGTGGATATCGTTCCCAGGCTCCAGGCAACGAGAGGTGCAGAAACAAACTCCGCCACGGTTACTCTGCAGAACCAAAGCAGCAGCATACCAAAGACCCAGAGAATCAAGAGGAGATGCTTGCTCTTCACACCGTTCGGACATCCCTTCCCTCGCCGCGCAGATCCTCCCCGCGCCGACATGCACTGCATCTAAGCAAGAGGAGATTTTCCATCTGTGCTTGCAGTTCCGAAGATGCCGGATCCGACGGTCCCCTGCCGCACGGCGGTGACCAGCGCCAGCAGGAGGTGCTTGCGAAAATCGCCATGCTTCAGACGCAGAAGGTCCGCATCACAAACTTCCTGGATGAGCGGTCTGCTTACCTGACCAAGTTCACCAAGGACGCCGACACCGAGTTCGACATGATTGGGCAGAACGCCATGAAAGAGCTCGATCAAATTGGGGACCAGGTGAGCATCCCTTGCGATGGATGGTTAAACAGTATAATACTTCATTCAGTGTCTGACAGAGAATTGCATTTGATGTGGTAGATAATGGAGCGACTCGACAGCAAGATGCAGTCCTACGAGGAGACAGCTGAAATGCAAAGGCAGGAGATAGAAATGAACGAGAGGGTGTTAGAAGATTTCGAAGACTGGATCGAAGAGGAGAAAAACGAAGGCATGTTCTTCAAAAGCCTTGGCAAGGTCAAAAAACCTCAAAACAATGAGGAAATCAAGGTGAAGGCCAAGATTGAAGCACAGAAGGTCAGAGAGATTGCAGAGGAGAGTGCGGGGTCAAAAGCTCGGATGAATATTTACCTTGCACTGACGGCGATACTCGGTCTTACAATCGCAAATGCCGTCTTTGCAACGCCAGAGGTGGAATGGAGGAAGGTTGCTGCTCTGGGTCTAATTTTCATTGGCCTGGTTGCTCAGGTAATCTATGAGCAAGATATATCCCCACCGGTAGCTGACAAGGATGAAAAAAGAGAAGAATGAAAGAGCTGTGCACCCTGAGTGAAACATCAAAAAGCAGCAAGAGCTTCATCGATATAGACGTAGACTGTATAAATTCAAGATATAGATTGTGTAATCTTAGTTATCATTTAAGGTGTAGCTTGGCCTATAAACCACAGGTTTCTTACACCTGAGGTCTGATAAACTCAAGCTGTGTTCAATCTTGCATCAAAGATATGTTTCAGCAATATAACTTTCAAAGCCAAAACCATGTAACGAAGTTACAATTTTGATGCACACAACACGTCAAGTTACTCAAATTTCAATTAAAAGAGGTTAAGAGTATTAGAAGAGATAACAAAAGAGAGTGCAGGATCAACGCTCAAATGAGCATTTACCTTGGACTGGTACCAATGCTCAGTCTTACATTTCCAGGACCAGATGCTGCCTTTGCAACAACTGGGTAGAGTGACAGAAGGTTGCTGCTCTGGGTTAATTTGTTGATCGCCTGGTTGCTCAAGCCATCCACGAGAAGGACATATCAGCACCAGAAGCTCAGAAAAAAAGAAGAAGAATGAAGATCTGTGTACTTGAGGGTTCAAGGGTAGAAAGTTTAAGTAGCACTGGAGTTCAGTTAATATAGTTAGTACCAATATACAAGTGCATAAAATTGACACGAATGTACTATGTAGTTTTACAGATCAAAGATACCATTTCTGGTATAGCTTAGTGTATAAACACAGAATTCCAAATGCACAGAATTCATGTTTCACAAATTTTGATTGAAAGAGAGTATCAAACTTCAAAAATGGATAATCAAGAAAATATACAATATCAGAAGAAGATAATTCTTGGTGAAGGAGATGGGGATAAAGTTATGGGAGGCCATTCTCTGCTGAGTATCATGTTAACTGGAAGACTATGTGTTGACCTTGAAAAATCCAGGCAGTTATGGTATTCATGAACAGATTGAGAAAGGCCATGGTCGGAAAAAGGTAAACTGCCACAACTACACATTAGTTCAACAGTGATGACTACAAGATGGAGATCTAGTTCTCAAGATGAATACAAATAGAAGCACATTTACTGCTGAACAAAAAAACAGAACAGGGGAAAAGGGATAGAAACCAACAACTAGATGATGCTAACATGAAATTCGCAACAACTGACAATTTTGAAGAGCTAGTGAACTACTGGCGTGCACACTGTAGCGTGTACATAGTTGTTGAAAATCTGAATCACCATTTACCTAGGGCTGATGTCAAAACCCATTACAATTGTGAGTGCAGTCTTTGCAACATCTGAGGTGAAGTGGAGGGATGTCGCTCCAATTTTCACTCGCCTGGTTCCTCAGGTCATTTATGAACAGGGTACATCGCCACCAGAGGCTGAAAAGAGAGCAATGAAAGAGCTCTGCAGTTGATAAAACATGAAAAGGTAACAAGAGAGTTCAATCAATACTTTCACTAGCAATGACAGCTACTAACATTAATATGATGGTACTTTATAACGAAACATGTTGTTGAAGATGTAGCTTGGCCTATAAATCACAGGTTTCTTAAACCTGAGATCTGCTAAACACAGTCTGTCTTTAATCTTGCATAAAAATGTTCCAGCGATACTACTTTCAAATGCCAAAACAAAGTAAGAGGTTACAATCTGATGAACTAGAATACAACCATGATACTAAAAAAAAAGATACGGCCTGACACGCTAATACAACCATGTTTCCCAAAAAATCAAAGATATGGTTAAGCAATACAACTTTCAAAAGCCAAAACAAGGTAACCAGATTATAGTCCTGACGTGCTCACAAAATCATGTTTCTCAGTTTCGATTCAAAGTGTGTATGAAAGAGATTGCAAAATAGACTCCAGGGATAAAAACGCAAAACAACATCTAACTTGGTTTGGTGCCAATACTTGGTCTTACGAATCAGAAATGTAAATGCAGTTTTCCAACGTCTTAGGTAGAGTGCAGAAATGTTACTCCAGGTCTAATTTTTCATGGGCCTGGTTGGTCAGGTAATTTGTGGACAGAAATACCACCACCAGAAGCTGGCGAGCGGGATGAATTATATTTTATAATCGAAGATAACATTTGCAGTGTAGCTTGGCCTATAAACCATAGGTTTCTCGAACCTGAGATCTGATAAACTCAAGCTGTCTTCACTATTGCATCAAAGATGTTTCAGCAATTACAACTTTCAAAAGCCAAAACAATGTAACATAGTTACAATTCTGATGCACCTAACACGTCAAGTTAGTAAAATTTTGATTCAAAGTGAGTATAGAAAAGATAGCAAAAGAGAGTGCAGGGACAATACATTTCTGGATGCTATCTTTGCAACAACTGGATAAAGTAGATGGAAGGTTGCCTGGTTGCTCAGGTCATCCATGAGCAGCATATATACGTACCAGAGGTTGGAAAAAAAATGAAGATCTGTATACTCAAGACTTAAAAGTTCAAGAGTATAAAGTTTAAGTAGTGTGCCGATAATGTCAAGAGAGGTCGGGGTAGACCGAACTTGACATGGGAAGAGTCCGTAAAGAGGGATCTGAAGGACTGGAACTAGCCATGGACAGGGGTGCGTGGAAGCTTGCTATCCATGTGCCAAAACCATGAGTTGGTTGCGAGATCTTATGGGTTTCACCTCTAGCCTACCCCAGCTTGTTTGGGACTAAAGGCTTTGTTGTTGTTGTTTGTTTGTTTGTTTGTTGGAGTTATATTAATATTTTCGGTAGCAATAGAAAAGTGCATACATTCAATATGAATGCATGCAGTTTTTTGTATGAAAGATACCATTTATGATGTAGCTTGGCATATAAACCACAAGTTTCTCAAACCTGAGATCTGATAAACTCAAGCTGTCCTCGCTCTTGCATCAGAGATATGTTTCGGCAATTACAACTTTTAAAAGCCAAAACAGGGTAAAAGGATTACAATTCAGATGCACTCTAAGAAATACATGTTCACAAATTTTGAGGGTATCAAACTATTGCCAAATAAAAAGTTCAGGTTCAATGAATAATCAAGAAAATAGACGAGATTTGAAGAAAAATAATATTTTTATCGCAAGAAAAAAAATCTTGGTGAAGGAGAAGATGGGATAAAGTTAAGGGATGTCATTCTCTGCTGAGTGTCTTGTCAACTGGAAGACTATACATTGACCTTGAAGTAATCAGCCGGTGTTACACTTTAGGCGGTTCTGCTATTCGAGTATATAGATTAAAAAAGGGCATGGCCGGGAATGACGTAACCCTGCCACAAAGGACACAAAGAAACACTCTCATGTTCAATGCCTCCACATTAGTTGCACAGTGATGGGTGCAAGATGGAGATCTGGTTCTCAAGATGACTACAGATAGAAGCACATTTATTGCCAAACAATAAGAGAATGCGCAGAAACCAGAAAGAGATAGAAAACAATAACTGGGTGAATGCTAACATGAAATTCACAACATCCAACAACTTTGGAGAGCTAGTGAAGTACTGGCAAGTAGACTGTAGCTTGAATATAGTTGCTGAAAGTCTGAACTACCTTACCTTGGCTGATGGTAACACTCCATGATACAATTGTGAGTGCCGTCTTTGCAACGCCAAGGCGAAATGGAGGGTATTGCTCTAACTTTCACTTGCCTGGTTGCTCAGGTCATTTATGGACAGGGTACATCACCACCAAAAGCTGAAAAGAGAAAATATGAAAGAGATAGCGCTTGGTAAAACATGAAAAGGTAGCAATAGAGTTTAATCAGTACTTTTCACTAGCAATGACCACTACTCACATTAATTTTAATGGATATAATCTTTACAGTAGACCATATTGTTGAAGGTGTAGCTTAAAAAAGGGCAACCTGGTGCATGTAGCTCCCGCTTGCACAGGGTCCGACCACTTTGGGTCTTTAGTACGCAGCCTTTCCCTACATTGCTGCAAGAGGCTGTTTCCAGGACTTGAACCCGTGACCTCATGATCACAAGCAGCAGCTTTTACCACTGCGCCAAGGCTCCCCTTATTGAAGGTGTAGATTGGCCTATAAAAAACAGGTTTCTTAAATCTGAGATCTGATCAACACTAGCCGCCTTTAATATTCCAAAAAGTTAGTCCAGCAATACTACTTTCAGATGCCAAAACAAGGTGACAGCCCAACAGGTTACAATCTGATGCACTAAAAAATAACCATGTTTCTCAAAAAACAAAGATACAATCTGATGTGCTAAAACAATCATGTTTCCAAGAAATCAAGATATGGTTAACCAATACAACTTTCAAAAGCCAAAATAAGGTAACTGGGTTATAGTCCTGATGTGCTAAAAAATACACGTTTCTCGGTTTCAAAACAAAGTGACTATCGAAGAGATTGCAAAATAGATTGTACGGTCAAAAACTCAAATGAATGTTGTTTTCCAACGAAATAGGTAGAGCAGGGGAACGTTACTCCGTGTCTAATTTTTCATGGTCCTTGTTGCTCAGGTCATCTGCCGACAGGAATACCACCATCAGAAGCTGAGAGTGGTATGAATGGTCATATATTTTGTAAAAGAAGATAATATTTACACTGTAGCTTGGCCTATAAATCACAGGTTTCTCGAACCTGAGATCTGATAAACTCAAGCTGTCTTCACTATTGCATCAGAGATACGTTTCAGCAATTACAACTTTAAAAAGCCAAAACATGGTAACAACAGGGTTACAGTCCAGATGCACTTTAAAAAATTATGTTTGTCAAATCTGGCAGCAGAGCTCAACCAGTCGTGGCGGTAAGGGAACAGAACTGATCGAAATAACAGAAGTGAAAGGATCTAAGAGGTCATGCAATGCTAGCGAAGGCCATGCTGAGATCGAAAACTCATCAGAGTAGACAAAATCAAGGTGCGGCAGTAGGCCAGACTTGGGGAAGAAGCGGATCTCAGAATTACCATGCTTGGTGCGTCAAGGAACAAAGCAGAGTGGAGAGAGATGGCCAGAGATGGATTGTGGTTGGAGGGAGGGTAGAAAAGAGAGAGAAAGTAGTCTTTGGGCACATGTGGGTCATATTGTATAATTTTATTTCTTCCAAGTCATTCTATCTGGTGACCATGTACGTTCCCATTCGATGGCAGACATGGATGGGGTCTGAGGGGTGCAAAGCAAACAGTTTTAGTACCTGAAAAGCGGACATTTTTTCTTTTAAAAATGCAATATAAAATAAAATTGGTTCGACGTTTACCTTAGCAGAAGGTAATACTCTGTCTTAGATGTCATCGAGATGCCTCGAGGGTAATGTAGAAAGCTTGCCTGGTTTGTTCAGGTGCTCTGAGTCGAATTTCCATTAGCCTGATTTGTTAAGGTCATCTTTGAACAGGATATATCACCACTAAAGCTGAGAAGATAAAAAAAGAAAAATGAAATAGATGTACACTTGAAGTAAAACAGGAAAAGTCCAGTAGATTTGATTCGACATTATCACTAACAAAGTAAAATATATATATATAATTATTACGGATTGACATGGCTTTTGTAACTCAAGATATATATATACCATCATACAGCACGTTTCTCAAGCTGTAGGAGTTTGGTGTCCGTATTTGTGGCGTGTATGTACTATGGTCACTTCTCAACTCTTATCATAAACAAAATAAAACAAGCACAAGATACGAAACTGAAATGGAAAATCAATATTGTAAGCCGTTACTATTGTACTTGACCTGGTTACTGCATCATTGAAGAAAGAAGAGACAGGCAAGGACAGACTAGTCTGCACGAAACAAAATAACCATCCTAAGCCTATGAAACAAGAATTAGCAAATTTCAGTGCTTCCATCCATTATTTAGTTGAGAAGGTGCCATTTTATCTTAGAAAGCATACTGCTGGGAACCTTGGACGCAGTTGAAAGTATGAAAGAAGTTGGTATCACTGAAATTCTAAACATCAGGGTTAATCTGCAATTCTTGATTATGATGCCCTCAAGCAAACACTACGGTTGGCATGACAGAAACTACATAAGTGCTATTATAGTAAGATCAAACAAAATCAGGTGAAAAATATAAGCCATGGAAACAGAAATCTATCATGCGGAATTAAGGCAAAGAAGATATTACCAAGAGAAATTCTAAACGATCATATTTGAATAGGTCCATATTTGATGACAGCTCTGACCAGTATATTCCATGTGATGGCTGTTGGTACAATTCCTTGTGCAAGCACCTCATCCAACAATTGGACACCCTCGGGTGTTCTGTGACAAGAGCATAGACCCTTAATTCTTGTATTATATGAAATTATATCGGGTACCAAACCATTTTCTAAAATAGCTGTCCACAGAGACGCTGCTTTGTCAAAACAACCCATTTCATAAAATCCATCCATGAGTGTGTTATAGGTCACTAAATTTGGGCGGCAGTTGTTCTTCTCTTTCATCTCAGAGAGAAGACGCGAAGCTTCATCTACTTTCCCAGCAGAACAAAGACCATGGATTAAGATGTTGTGCATCATGACATCTGCCTGAAGACCCTTATCAAGAATTTGATTCCACAGAGCAATGGCAGCATCAACCTTTTTGTCTCTACAAAGGCCACGAATCAATGAAGCATAAGTATTGACATCTAGTTTACAACCTTTCTCCAACATTTCCTTTGTAAAGCTTGAAGCATCTTGATACTTTTCAGCCTTACATAGTCCATCTATTAGAGTGTTGTAAGTGATGACAGTAGGAGAACAACCATTGTTTGCCATCTCACTGTATATTCTTACAGCATCACTAAACTTAGATGCTTGGCAGAACCCTTTTATTAGTGCATTGTAAATATGAGGATTCAGTTTGCAGCCATCCATAGATATCTTTTCATATAACTTAACTGCATCGTCTAGTCTCCCATCCTTGCACAGTCCACTTATCATGGATGAATATGAGAATGCATCTAATTTTTTACCACTGGTCTGTGCTTCCACTAAGATTTGAAGTGCCTTGTTAGCAAAGCCTTTCTCACATAACCCATGGATCACAGTGCCAAAACTCACCATGTCAGGAGAGGACGAAGTGTCTTTCTCCAATAGCTCCCACAATTCTCTAGCTTCATCGACCATGCCACCATCAAAGAGCCCCTTCAGCATTATATTATAAGTTATCACATTACGGATGCCAGAAACACTGGTAGAGTCCCAGAATTTCCAAGCCTCTCCTACTCTCCCAGCTTGGCAGAACCCCTTGATGAGTGAATTATATATGGCAACATCAGGAACAAGCCCGGTCTTGATCATCTCTGAATATACCCTTGCTGCACCATCCACATCCCGTGACCGGCACAAACCATGAATCAGAATCCCATAGGTAATCATGCCGACTTGGTGATTATTTGCAATCATCCTCTCCCATACCTCACCCGCCTCCTTAAACCTCCCAAGTTTACACAAGCCATCAAGCATCGCATTGTAAGTGGATTGGTTGGGACTTGCACCAGGATCTCTCACCAGCTGCTCCCACACCCGCATAGCTTTCTCAAATTCACCATTCCCGAAACACCCTCGGAGCACTGCATTGTAACAAACCGCGTCAGGCTGCACTTCATAGGTCGGCATTTCGTCAAGCAGGTAAAGTGCCATGTCCAAGCGGCTGTGTTTGACAAGCCCAGACATGAGAGTGGAGTAGGTGACGCGGTCCGGAGCAACTCCGCGGCGGCGAAGGGAGTCGAAGAGCATCAGAGCTCGGTCGAGGTCCCCACGTCCGCAGAGGGAGCGGAGGATGATGTTGTAAGTCTGGAGGTTGGGGGCAATGCGGCGCCCGAAGGCGCCATGAGAGAGGGACGTGAAGAAGGCGTCGGCGTCAGAGAAGCGACGGGCCCGCACGAGAGCGTCGAGGAGGGCGTTATGGGAGCGGACGCCCGGGTTGCAGCCGAGGAAGGCAGGGAGGCGGCGGAAGGCGGCGAGCGCGGCGTCGGGCATGAGCGCGCGGGAGAAGGCGGAGAGGACGACGAGCGCGGCGGGCTCGGAGAAGCGCGGGCGGTGGCGGAGGCTCGGGAGGAGGCCGAGGAGGCGCGGGAGGCGGGCCGGGGCGGAGGTGGCGAGGCGGCGCAGCAGGTGGAAGAGGAGCGGCTGGGGCGGGGTGTACGCCGGCCAGGTGGAGACGAGGAGCTCCAGGTGGGCGAGCGCGGAGGCGGGGTCGGGCTCGGACTTGATCAGCTCGAGGAGGCGGTGGATGGGCGGCGTCTCGCCGCCGGGCTGCGGCGGCTCGGGCTCGGGCTGCGCCGGCTGCGGCATCGGGTTGAGCGGAGGGACCGTGGCCGCGCGCGGCGGCTGCACGCACGGGCGCGCCAGGCGTCTGGGGGTGTTGCGGTTTGGCTTGTGAGGTGACGGCGGGGGGCTAGGGTTTTTGGGTTGCCTCATTCATGGTCGCATCCTGGCCCTGCGGCCTGCCGCGGGAATGGTGGAGGAAGAGGTTCTGAAACGACTGGGCCTCCATTTGAATTTAATGGCGTTCTTAGTCTAGCCGCAAGGCCGGACGCTCTGTTGGCGGAAATGGTGCAGAGCCTGGCCCAGCCATTTGAGGCCTCTTTTAATTCATAGGATAAGATTATCGTAGGAATAGAAATCTTGTAGGAAATAAGATGACATGTATCTCAAATCCTATGAGTAGGAATAGAAAATAAGATGTCATTTGGTTAACACCAAAGAAATTTTTTCATTGAGTCTAGGTTCATTTTTATTTTCCTATGAAATGTGAAGGATAGGAACCAATTCTATGTAGGAATAGGAATCCATTCCTATGAACCAAAGGGCCATAAAGGAAAGAATCCTATCCTCTAGAATTCCTATGAAATTCCTTCAAACCAAAGGAGGCCTGAGTGTTTTTTCAAAAACTCGGTTTGAGACACCACGTGATGGTGAGTTCAACTCGTGTGAGAACTTATTGAATCAGCAAATGCCCGTTGGAATGTACCGCTGCTTGAGCAAGTGTTTTGCCATATGATGCTGCTGCAATTCAGATAATCCCAATATGTACCCGAAACTTGGAGAATTTTTGGTCACGGGGCTTCGAGAAGAGAAGATTGTGGCCGCTCAAATGGGATTCTTAGTCTAGCCCCATATTCTCTGTACATTCAACATATAGGATATTGTGGCCACAAAAAAGAGAAGAGAAGATTTGGGATCAGCGATCGGGGCCCTCAAACACGACGGCAGATGAAAAATCTTGGCAAAGTTTATGGGGAGTAATAGTGCTAGCCAAGATAAAGGTCTTCTTTGGAGATTGGCACATCATTCTATTCCTACTGAGGGTGTCAGAAAACATGGGAATATGTCAACAAGTGATTTATGCTCCGTCTGTGGTATGCAGGACTCCTGGAGGCACATCTTAATAGAAAGTAACATGGCTGAATGTGTAAGGGCTCTTGTCGATCACGAGCTTTTGGAGCATATGATTGCCATGACTGGACCTTCAGCGGGAAGTTGGATGTTTTCCATGTTTGAGGTTTTGAACCATGTGGAACTCACCCGGATGACTGTGACAATGTGGTCGATTTGGTATGCTCGCCGGAAACTGATACACGAAGGAATCAACCAAAGCCCTCTATCCACTCACCTCTCTGTTACATGCTTTATATCTGAACTGGATCAACCACAACATCCAAGAGGGCCACATGTAATAATAGCGCCAAGAAGTGCATCGGTGAGATTGTGGCAACCACCACCAGAAGGAATTGTGAAAATTAATGTGGATGCAGGTGTATCTAAGGACCATAGATTGGGTACCACAACAACTATCTGTAGGGACCGGGACGGCAACTATTTGGGCTCGTCCATACTGGTCATCCAAGGACTACTCGGAATTGTTGTACTGGAAGCGGTCACTTGGAGGGAAGCTCAAGCATTGGCGCTGGACCTTGGTTTGCATCATTTGTCCATAGCATCAGATTGCAAGCAAGTAGCGTCTCATATCCAGCAAAAAAAGGAGGCGAAGAAGGAGGCATCGTCAGAGAGATTTCTAAAACTACAAGTGTTTTTAATTCATGTTCTTTCAATTATGAACCTAGGACTTCGAACTTTGAAGCCCACAATCTAGTTAGATATGGCATCTCTTTGCCTGTAGGGAAACACGTGTGGTTAGAGCATGGTTAATAAGAGAGGCAGTAGTCGGCGCTACAACCATGTCCATGTCACTTGTAGTCTTCATAAAGCCAAAACCATATAATAGGATAGCTATAAGTTGGCTGTTGGGTTGGATTTAACTATAAGTCTTTGTATGCTACTAAGATTGGGAGGAAAGTCAAAGCGCCAGTTTACAGCCAGCAGCCCCGACTGCAAGCTAGCTATTGTGCCTCGTAACGTGTGTGTAGGCAGGCGACTACTGAAGCGCCCACTCTGCTCTCTCTCCCTAATTCTCTCTCTTCCATGTATAATTTTTGTGACATGGCAAGTCTTATAGCCTGTTGAGTAGGAATCATTATACTTGCTATTATTAGGTGTTTTGCATGACACCCTTGTAATATCCACAAACATCCTTGATGATCAATAAAAGGCTAGCTACCTTTGCTAAAAAAAAGTGATAGTGAGTAGGTGACTGATGGTTCAACCCACGCCAATGGAATGTTTGGGTTCTCTTTTATTGAAAATACATGTTTATGTATGGTTTTTTTACGAGAAAACTTCCGATCTTTTCATCTTTAATCATGGCAGTACAACAAGCATCAGAATAAAATAAAAATTGCATCCAAATATGTAGACCATCTAGCGACAACTACAAGCATTGAGGCGAGCCGAAGGCGTGCCACCGTCGTCGTCCCTCCCTCGCCGGAGCCGGGCAAAACTTGTTGTGGTAAACAATAAGGAAGTTTGTCGTGCTAAGACCCCATAGGACCAGCACAATAGAACAACAACTGACGCGTAGATCGAAAGAATTCAACCTAAAGACACATGGATGTTGAGAACGAAGAGCGGATCTGAGTAGATCCACCAAAGACAACAATCGATTGAATCCTCCGAGATCCATCGAAGACACACGCCCCGACGATGCTAGACGCACCATCGGGACAGAGACTAGGCGTGGAGAATTTTATTTCATCTTTAAAGAGCCGCCGCCGTCTCGTCTTTCCAAACAGCACGCAAACCCTAACAAGACTCAAAGAAGCATCTAAAAACGAAATCTTCCCGTCACAAGGGCTGGGACCCACCCCATCCCCATGGTTCTAGGGCCACAGGTGGATCGGCGATGCCGCCGGCGGGAGGCAAAGAAGATGTCGACTGCGTGTGGAGGGGTCGTTTTGTATGGAATATTAAAAAACGACCGATGTTGGGATTGTTTGTACTGGTGGCAGCAAAATTAACTTATTTATCCTTTTGAGTTAATTTATTTCTTTCAGGTTTTCTTTATAACTTTTTTTGTTCTGTTCATGGTTATCGGACGTGTCCTGTATTTTTGTGCGTTCTCTACCAGTCTACCACCCCGTGCATAAAAAACCCGGGAGTTGCTGTTCGATGCTCGTGTCACACGCCGCGACTACGAGGCTGGACGCCCGAACAACTCGAGCTTTCTTTACTTTGTTCCGATCTGCATCAATTTGCCATGTCCTGCCTTGTGCGGCACGTGCTATTGCGTAATAGTGCTCCCTGTCACCTTCGAACGCTTTGCTGCTGGTGCTGCTGATGCGGACGGCCCGGCCACCTTCGACGGTCGCGTTTGCGGAGGGAACTCCACGGCCGACAGCGTACGCAGCCAGCGAGCAGGAATAGATTCCAACCGGCCGGGCAGCACCCTCTGCGCGAATAAATACGTTCGTTTCCTTTCTTTTCTTCATTCGCGTGCGTTGAGCGAGCATACTTCTCTTCATTTTATTTACTTTTATTATTATTTAATTCCAGCTTCGATTTTCTGAGAGAGAACTAAGCAGAGTCTGCCAGCAGCAATCACATATGTACATTGTCTTTTTTTTAGAAAATATGCTTGTATTCAAATTACAAAATAATACAAAGTCTTTTTTTTTGCGGGGAAAATAATACAAAGTCTTTGACCCGTACATGCAGACCTTAACACATGTATGAAGAATCTGAAAAACAGAAAGCACCCTAAAACAACCAATAAAACACGAAGATCTCCGAAACTATGTGCCATCATTTCTAAATCTTGTGATAAGACATCTACAACACAAGAATCCGCAATCAAATACAAGCACTTCATCATCTTCAACCACGGCATAACCGTTTTTTTTTGCGGGTGAACCACGGCATAACCGTTGCCACGCTGCTTCCTTTTTTCTTTGTACCGGCGTCAAAAGGACAAGGACACACATGTGCATCCAACACGCCTGCACCAGCCATTGCCATCTATGGCTTTAAATACCGCTATATGTGCCCCTTTCAGATGGAAGAGAATTAGGATCCGATTCCGGCGCCGCGGCCGGGCCAACCGCCCGGACAAAGCATGGCATCCCTCCAGTAGTAGCACAAAGAATGAAAGAAAAGCAGCAGCAGAAAATCATACCGATGAAGAGGAAGATAAATTCTTCGTCTCCACACAATCACCTCCCATTCGAGGACCCAGCCGGCCAGTGTCGATTGACATCCAGACACCATAGCCCGCAACCTCAGCAAGATCCAGGGATCCCCAACCCTGCTGGCTCCTAGACGAAGGCAAGAGCTTTGTTTGACCGTGAACAGAGCCCGAGGAAACTTATTCAGACGCGGCGTCACCGCAACGGCCTCGACAGCGTTTTCTTCAACCCTAACGCTACTACGAACCCACCCCACGCATAGATCCGAGGTTCCCCTTCCTCCCACCGCCGGAGCGACCGACGGAGGGACGCTCTGTTGGAAAAGGCAGTGCCTAGGAGGCGCTTAGGCATGCCTAGGGGCTAGGCGATGGCCAAACGCCTCGCCTAGGGCATAAATGGAAGTCTAGGCAGGGTAAGCAACAAATTTTTTACCCAAGCGAGAAATCATACCATATTGCACTAGAATGCCAAACACGACACATTCAAATAGTAGTAGCTGGTAGTTAACTTATTTATCTGCCCTAAATTAACATCAATACACATATAATAACCCTAATAACCCTGATAGTAGAAGCTATATTACCGCCTAGGCCGCGCCTAGAGCGCTTAAGCACCGTTTAGGCACTAGGCGAAGGCCACCCGCCTCGCTTACGCCTACCGATTTTTCTGAGGGAACCAGCGGCAGCGCTGACGGCACGCAAAGGGAAGCCGCATCGCCTTCTTTCCGCCTGTGTATGACACCCTCTTTTCTCGGGCACGTGGGTCGCGGGATTTGCTTGCTGAAAAACAAAAGGACATATGTAAATTGTCGTGTGCGTAGTATGCACTTGCACTTTTATAGACACAAGGATATATACTTCCCTGTCAAAATATAACAATCAAGGATGGATATTTCTTCCC